GTGAGGAAGGACTTCTCATATCATTTCAGTTGGTTAAGGAGAGCTCCTGACTTCCATAGCCCCCTGCATTTTTAAGTGAAATTTAGGATGTTATTCTATGTTTTATTTTTCCCTTTGTATTCTTGCCTCTTGTTTTTCAGAGAAAACATGAGTGTTTTTCTTTGTTCTTAAGTTTCCTCCTAACTGGGCAACAGTAGCAACAGGGGACCCCTTTGAAAGAGCATGAATGGAACTTTTTTCTAAAAATACAAGAAAAGCTTCTACCCACTTCAGCTATTCCTACCTTGCCTTTAGGTGCTCAGCTGGTAGGAGTTATCCTAGGTATTTGCGGAGGTTAACAGAAGAGTTTTCCTCCCTCCTTCTTTCATAAATAGATACAAAAGAAGTAGCTTGTTATACAAGTAGGTGTAGTCAAGTAGTGCCATTTTGGTCACTTGGGGACGAATTGTTCATCCCAGTCAGCATTTGCAGAGCGGTGCTTTATCCACAGCATTGCAGGTGGGCTCCATGGTAAGCACCACACACCAGGCATGAAAGGCATACAAAAGCAAAAGCTACGTGAAATGGTATTTTAAAAAATGCAGAGCAGAGAGCACAATATTTAAAAGTACACAAAATAATGCAAACTGAATCCTCAAATACAGTGGGTGACCTGACTACCAGCTAGGTTGGAATCTTTCTGACCTGCTTTTGATGGAGAGGGCAAAAAGGATAAATGGTATGGTGGATACGAGCAATGACTCACTCTGCGTAGGAGTCATCCTTGATTGCTGCCTCTCCCTCCTCTTCCTTTTCAATGCATTGGCAAGTTGTGCCATTTTGTATAAAAATAGGGCTCCAGTCCTCCATGTTTCTCCTGCTCATAGCCACCCCCAGTCTGAGCCATTGTCTTCTCTAGGCAGGACAATATTGTCTTCTCTAGGCAGGACAATAGCAACAGTCACCAAATTGGTCTCCCTGCTTCCGTGCTTCCTTCTCTTAAGTCTGTTCTCCACAAAGAAGCCAAAAAGAACTTTCAAAAATAGACATCAAATCATGCAATTCCCCATGTTCTTAGGCTCAAATCTGAATTTATCATGGTCTACACATCATCAGGCTTGTCAAATGTCACTGTCTCCTACTACAGACATAGTAGGTGCTCAATTAATATTTATTAAAAAGGAAGAGCAGGTGTATTAACATAAATAGAAAAGCAATCCAGTCATTACGCTTGGATCAAAGTAACGTAAGATAGTTTTGGTGTTGAGTGTCAGGGTGAAGTTCGAGATTGGGGGAAGCTAGAGAGATCAACAAAGCCCTTCCGTAATCGAGCAGAAGTTCAGACTTAATAAACTAAGCAATACATAGTCCAAAACCTGACAATGCTGTTTTTATATTTTGTGAGACTGATTATTTTAGCAGTTGTGCCCACACTGAAGTTGGGAGCTTTGTGTAGGAGGTTATCACACCAGTGATTAAAGGCTGACAAGGTCTTGGATAGGGAGATGCTGGGGAGGGGAGAGGTGGATTCAAGACTCCATAGTTTGGAATTTCATGGTAACACTGCACTAAGCAACCTAGATATAAAATATGGCACTTCCTTTATTATATGACATTTAAACTGCCAGCCAGAAAACCACATTTAAAAAAAAATATGACTGCTCTCACATGAAATGAATAGAAGTCTTCATCTATACCTCCAGCTTCTGTTTTGGCAAAGCTCAATACTGATGCCTGGATGAGTTTAGGTGAAGAGGAGAATTAGGGTTAAAATTTCCCACTGCCATTGCTTTAAGAAATGAGATAAGGTACCTGAAATGTACCAGTGCTATTAGTTAACTTTCCATTTGAATAACAAAAAATAGTGCCAAGATTTACATTTTATGAATCCACCTACCATCATTTTTTCCTGCCAAATTACTATCTGAAAGAAAATTGTCTGAAACATTTTTCTTATGCTGCT